CGCCCACCTCGCGGCTGCGGGCTGAGGGCTGGGGCTGCGGCCGGGGGCGTCGCGAGCCGGGCACTCCCCCAAGCCTGTGCTTGACCCGTCTCGCCGGGCTCCCGGCTCTTGAAGCCGTGAGAGGCAGACTAGCAGTGTAGTGCGTGGGTATTTTTGGAACACAGGCCACGCGATTTTCACATCTCCACACGTTCGGGAGCGCTCTCAAGGTTTGCAGGAATTTGATTCAGGAGTAGGCGTGCCAAGGCCAGTGGTTTCCAGCAGCTCTCCCCGCCCCCTCGCACGCCTGCGTTTAAAAAATTCCGTTTCCTATATCGACAGCGATCTAGCTAGCTATGTGATACCTTAAATATCAAAGTAAAAATCAAAAACAGCATTTCCAACCTTCCCACCTCCCGGCTGCAAGCCCAAAACTCGTCACAGAAAAATTCTGGAGCTGCCCTTGTTTTCGCTGGAGGCCACAGACGGCTCAGAACAACCGTCTTGAGGGAAATGAGGACGTGGATCACGGAGCTGGGGCAACGGACAGTTTCAGGTAGGCCGCTCTGGCTTCCCCAAAGAGGAGGTCGTGATGTGGACTTCCATGCGAACGTGCACCGCCTTTGGTGCTGAAATCCTCCTCTGCTCTCCCAGCCAGCAGGAGGGAAAGGAGGCACTCTGCGCGATTGCCAAATCAAAGGCAGGCGAAGTTCAGACTTATTTGCTGTGACGTTCTGCACACAGCAGCCCTTTCCTTTGCTTTCTTGAAAAGGGTAGTGTTCAAAGACCCGTACAGGCCACTGTATCTCTCGGAGGTGCTTTTACAAAGGCAGAGGTAAGATTGTCATCAGAAACTGCTCATTGAGGAAAACAAGGCCACCTGAACTTTTGGATGGGGTCCTTGATTTGCAGAAGGTATTGGGAGCATTTTGTGACCTTATTTCTTTATTTCACAGAGAGGCTAAGTTCTTAAAATGCAATGAGATAGAAGCATCTAAAGATGAAAACGGCAAAGGTCAGCAGGTGGTGTCCTGTGGTTAAGGCGCTGGGCAGACCATATGTTCAACCACAGTTCAAGTCCAGGACCTGGCGTCTTGAAAATCATACCAAGTGCATGCATGCCCCAAATCCAAAGAGGAGAATGGAGGAGAAGGGATTATGGTGTGGCCAACCCCCCTTCCCTGGGGTGGGGGATGGTTTCTCACTTTCCTTCTCTGTCTCTCTTTCTCTGGCAAGCGCAGGCATTCTATAACAAAAACCTATTTAAAAAAGAAGAAGAAGAAGAAAAAGAAGAAAAGCAAATTACAGAGGGATTTCAAAATCCGTTACTGTTTGACTGATGTTGAGCCAGCTAGGGTTCTGTAAGAAGCACCAGTGGGGCCAACACATAAAGGAAGTTATTTTTAACAACTGAAACCATTTCTGAGGCAGAGAGTCACTTGTGGCCTTTGGTTCCAAACTTTAGGATAATGGCAAATGCATGCAGATCAATTCCTGCAGCTCATCTTTACCAGCTCGGAAAACTGCAGCCTGCTTGGGTAACCAATAGGAAGTCTATCAGATCAACCACAAAAAGGGTTCTGTAAAAGTCTTATAAAAACACAAGGAGAAGGAAATTTAGCAGACATATTTATTTGAATTTTCAAGCAGCTTTGACTAAGAACCTCTCAAAAAAAGAGTAAGAAAACAAATAATCCTGGAAAAATGAAGTGAAGGCATCAAAAACCAGTTAAACACTAGAAAACAATGACAAACAGGGAACATCTGTTCTCCAGAGTGGAAAGAAGTTGGTCCAGAAGTCTATGCAGGGCTGGGTTGAAGTATTACAGAATACAAATGTTTCATGTTTCTCAGCATTGATTTTTTTTTTTTTTTTGAAGGAGGAAAATCTTTGCAGATGACCCTGGAGAGTCCTAAATCCTATTGTCATGTATAGAAACTCACCATTTTTCTTAAAAAAAAAAAAAAGTTTCTTTCCTTGGTTTAATTCCAGAGGTTGGAGAACTGAAACCAAGTGGCATCTTTTGGAATTCAGATCCAGAGGTTATTTGAGGAAAGAAAAAAAACTATACAGTGGTTGCCGCTGTGTAAAAAGAGGTCCTTGGGAATTTCCTAATCTGCCTGGTTCATCTCTGTTAGAGGACAAAGTTGTATAATTGGCCTTGCTTTCTTTCAAGTGTTATAACTTCTGTAGAGTGGCAAAATACCTGCAACCTAAAATTTACCATTTTAACCATTTTCAGTGTACAGTTTAGTAGTGTTATGTATACTTGCACAGTTGTGCAAGCGATCTCCTGAGAAGTTTCATCTTACAAAACTGAAATCCTGTACCCATTAAACAATTCCCCTTGTCCTCCTTCCTCTAGACGTTGGTAACTACCATTCATTTCTCGAGTTTGACTTCTCTAGTCGCCTCATATATAGTTTTTCTATTTTTAAAAGAGATTTTTGCGGGCCCAGCAGTTGGTGTAATGGCTATGTTGCTAGACTCTCACGTAGTTGACCATGGTTCAAGTTCTCAGACCCGGCAGCTTAAACTCATGCCGGGTCCGTATGTGTGCATGCCCAAGATCCTGAGGAGAGAATGGACAAGGGATTGTAGCGTGGTCACCCCCCCGCCCCCAGGGGGGTTGATTTCTAGCTTTCTGTCTCTCTCTCTCTCTCTCTGTCTTTCTGGCAAGTGCACACGCCCTATAGCAAACACCTCTCAAAAAAAATTTTTTTTGTCATAGGACATGTATGCTTGCCAGAGAGACAGAGTGAAATAGAGAGACAGAAAGCAACAAATCATCCCCCAGAGGGAATGTCTGTGTTGCAATCCCTTCTCTAGTTGTCCTCTTGGGATTTTGGCCAGCACCCATACAAGCCTGGTGTGAGTTTCAAACCACCAGATCCAGGACGCAAACTGCGGTCCGCTACATGGAAGTCCAACAACATAACCATTATGCCAACTGCTGGTCCCAGAAAGCTTTTTTTTTTTCCTTGCAATTTTATATTTTTCTTTGAAAGTCAGCGGTTAGCTCTCACCCACATTGACTGTAGAGTTTTGAATGTGGTAACAGGTACATAGGTTACTAGGGTGTAGAGTTCGTTGGGTTAATCCTCATCCTCATTACGTTTTCTGGAAACAGCACGCGGACACGGTATGGGACATCCCTTATTCCTTTGGCCCAGACAGCTTTGTTGAGCCTGATATCAATGTGCACATCTGGAACCCCATCTCCTTCATGGCAAATTTCGGAATCTCTTTGTTTGCTGGAGGGGCACTTTTCTTGAAGTCCACGCCACTATGTGCTTATGAATGTTGATGGTATATTCTTGGGTCACCACCTCGCTGATGAACAAGCCCTAATTCCCCCCACCCTTCTTTGTGGGAGCCATTCTGCCTAGGTTGGAAAGCCATATAACATATTTTTAATGATTGGCTTAGTTTACATAGCATAATCTCCTCAAGGCTCATCCATGTTGCAGTGCGTGTCTAAATTTCCTTCCTTTTTGAGGCTCAATAGTATTCCATCATATGTCTGTAACATATTTTGTTTATCTTCTCATCCGCTGATAGACTTTGGGTTGCCTTCAACGTTGGCTGTTGTGAACAATGCTGGTATGAATATGGGTGTATGGTATTTCTTAAAGATCTTGCTTTTGGTTATTTTGGGTATATACTCAGAAGTGTATATCATATGGTATTCTATGTTTTAAGGAACTGTTATACTGTTTTTCATAGTGACTGAGTCATTTTACATTCCCACCTGCAATGCACAAGAATTCCAGTGTCTACACATCCTCTCCCAGTGGGCATTAGGTGATATAAGTTCTTTATAAAACCACGGACTTACATATAACCCATTTCTATATTTTTTAGGCTGAACAATAATAAAAATTTTAAGGCCACATGTAATATAGGAAGAGACTGGGTCTAGTTTCTGTTATCCACCAGAAAATAGGTAAGTGTCTTAATTACACTAAAAAATATTACATAATCTAACCTATAATTTGAAGAGTATTATTCATTGGCTGTCAAGTAATACTACATATACTTGACCTCAAGACCTATATTTAACTAGTCTCTCTTATTTTCCTTTTTTTTTTTTTTCTCTATAGGGCATGTACACTCACCAGCAAGACAGAGAGACAGAAAGTGAGAAATCACCCCCCAGCAGGGATGGCCAGGCCACTACCCCTCCTCCTCTTGGGATTTTGGGCACGCACACACAAGCACCCAGCGTGAGTTTAAGCCACCGGGTCCGGGACTGAAACCACAGTCGACTACGTGGGAGTCTGGCGACATAACTATTATGCCAACTGCTGGTCCTTAGTCTCTCTTGTTTTAATCTCTAAATATTATAATGTGATTGGGATGTGGGATTGAAAGGATTACAGAGAGAAGCACATATGGGGTTTTGACCATAGAACTCCAAAGGAAAGGTCAAAGAAGCTGATGTTATCAATATTAAAAACATAAAGGTTTGTTTTGAACCTACGCATGGAAGATCCAACCTTTTCTTTTCTATTTCTTCAGAGGATAGTAAACATTAGACAGAGCTGAAAGAGAGTTAATGAACTAGAGGACAGAATCTGAGGAAATGGCCCAAAATGCAGTTCACAGAAATAAAAAAAGGTGGAAAATTTAAAGAAGCTGGGAGATAGTGCTGACAGAATAAGGCTTTGCATGCATCTCGTCTGCCTGTCGGAACCCTCTGTCACTATAAGCACAAGCTTGGGTTACTCTGTGGCCTGCACGTGGAGCAGAGTGGAGCTGAGGCAGCCCAGGCTCCTTGGACTGTCCAGTTACTGGTCACTCTACCCCCCAAGGAGTCCGGCTGAGACCAGCACAACATCCTATTTTACCCACAGACTTGTGAGAAATAATACATTTTGTTTTGTCTTAGTGTTGCTATAGGGCACGTATGCTCACCAGAGAGAGCGGGGGAAAGTGAGAAATCACCCCCTTAGGGTACGGCCACACTGCAGTTCCTTCTCCTCTTGGGATCTGGGGCATGCTTGCACATGCACCTGGCACGTTTTTCAAGCCACTCAGTTCAGTACTAGAACTGTGAAGTCGGCTTTGTGGGATCCAGCTGCCTCAACCATCGGCTGGCCCAGTAGCTAGACATCGTTTTAAGCCATTAAATTTTGGAATATTTACTAATGCTTATTATTTGGAATGTTTTATTTAGGAGCCATAACTAATTGACATACTACAGAAAAGCACAATCAAAAGAAAACCGTAAACATTTACTCACTTCTGGCTACCAGTTGTGATTATTGTCTGTGTCCCTGGTTGTATGTAAAAAAGACTCATGCCAAACCGATAGTTTACACTTTCTACTCCACTCACAAAAACAATGTTCAATACTTTTGCATTATACTCTTTGTTTTTAAAATGCCAGAGGGCACATATGCTCATGAGAGAGAGAAAGTCCCCCTTAAGGGGGTGTTGCCATTCCACATTCGTTTTCCCTCTACTTGTCATCACATCAGGATTTGGGGCACACACACATTCGCCCAGCATATTTTTCGGATATTTGGGGCTAGGATTTAAACTGTGGTTGGTCATGTGTGATCTGGCTTCATAGGCACAGGGCTGTGCTTTGGGGTTGGCCCCCTACTATTTCCGAAAGCTGGTCTTCACATTTTATCTTCTCAATGACAACAACAAAAAGTGGCTCTGTAATTATTGAAGTACTCTGTGACTACACTGCACCTTTTGAAATTGTGCATTTGTAAAACACTTCTTTTGGTCACTCTTAAGTGTTATTTTTAACCTCCTGCTAAGTGTTATTTACACCTCCCAGCTGCTTATTATCCTGCAGAAAATGTTTCATAGTAGCTCAGACCAGCAGGGTGTTGCCACCATGAGCATTGCAGATTAGCGCATTATGGAACTTCACTGTTCATGAGTCTGTCTTACCCTTGCAGGACAAGTTGGGGCATGAAAGTGATTCTAGTGAAAATCCTAGAGGCTGTAGAGGTGATGCCCTTGCAGGTGGAAGTATGCATCCCTTTAGGAGCTGGAAGGTGATTTAATTACATGCACAGGGTTACCTTGAAACCACACTGCTTGCCCACTTCCTTAAAGGTATATACAGACCTAATCTGCAAGTGCATCATTGGATAGTACAGTGCCAATGTTCATTAGCTCTTTTATTAATAAAGAAGATATGGGACTAGCAGATGGCATAATGGTTACATTGCTGGATTCCCACATAATTGACCACAGTTTGAGTCCCAGACCCTGTGGCTTGAACCTGGTATGTGTACGTCCTTGCTCAAGGTCCTGAGAAGAGAATGGAGGAGAAGGGATTGCGGCATGGCCATCCCCCGCTGGGGGGGGGTGTTGGTTTCTCTCTTTCTGTCTCTCTGGCAAGTGTACACACCCTATAACAAAAATCTTTCTCTCTAAAAAAAATAAAAACAATGAAAGAAAAAAGAAAAGAAAAGATGATATATAGAAATACATTGTCATCAGAAATTTTTACTAGAAGTTATAGAGGGGGCAAAAGATTCTACTCAAAAGATTCCACTCTGGCCTATTTCAGTATCAGAACTTCTCCTGGCCCTCTTAGGAAGAAAGGCTGGAAGAGAAAGGAAATAGGGAAAAAAAAAAAAATGAAGAGAATAAGAAAGAAAAAAGAAGGAACTAAAAGAAAGCCAAGAAAGGAAAGAGGAAATCAGGAAAGGTGGGGGTAGGTGAGGGGAGACAAACACAGGTGGAGGGAGTGGGCAGTGGGCAGTGGACTGTATACAGCACAAGAGCTACAGCAGCCCCCCGCCAGGTGAATGGTCTCTATGTGTCCGCTCTCCACCACCGTCTCAACAGCACTGCTGGAAGAGTCCTCCAGCAATCTGATTGTGCTGGTCCCCGACTTAGAACCCCTGTGGCTCCCAATTCCCTTCGGCATTGAATCAAAGCCTCCTAAGTCGACATTTGAAGTCATCTACAAACTATCCTCACCCTACTCACTGGTCTCACCCCTCCCCAAGCCTCCCTATTCTCTCATACTCCACCAGAATCCCCCTCCCGTCTCTGGATGCAGCTGGCCCTTCCTCAGTTTCAGGCCTTTCACTTGGTCCTTAATCTGGAATATTTTACCCTCTTTCTCCCCTCTATTGTTAATGACACAGTTCATATGTCGCCTTCTCTGCCACAAGCTCATATCCTTGCTGTCTCCCTGGCACTAGAACTCCAACTCCTGAGCAATCATACTTCATTAACTCATTTCCATATTCCCATTGCTTAATCAAACAGTGAGTAGAACCCAGGGACTCTTGAAAGCTGCTGAAGGAAGGAATGAATCTTACATCTCACTTCTCCCTGTTTGCACACCCGACACTTTTTTTTTTGAGTTTTTTTTTTCTATAGGGCGCGTGCGCTCGTCAGAAAGACAGAGAGAGACAGAGAGACAGAAAGTGAGAAATCACCCCCCCCCCCGGAAGATGACCATGCCACAATCCCTTCTCCTCCATTCTCTTCTCGGGATCTGGAGCACATATACACACACGCCCAGCGTGAGTTTAAGCCACCGGGTCTGGAACTCGAACCATGGTTGACTACATGGGAGTCCAGCAACACAGCCATTATGCCAACTGCTGGTCCCCCACCCAGTACCTTTTCATTGTTTAGTTCCAGGGGTATTCAAACCAATTTCACCTTACCATGGATTTGCATAAAACCTCAAGGTACGGTATAGGAAGAAGACATATATTTTAACTTGTTTCTTCCCGGAACAGAGGTTTATTTCAGGAATTAGATGGGACCACATGATTCTCCTTCTCACTCTTTCAAAAGCAAAGAATGAAGAGTGGGAAATCTATCTAAAGAGCAAATGAGAAAAGAATGCTTTCTCATTGATCGTGCTTTAATCTCGATCTGAGAGAACGTCCTGTCGTCTTGTCCTGTTGGTAGCTCTCCTAAGCAACCTGTGAGGCTGGGTTTCTGTTGTTCCCTCGGGAAGTCTGAGCCTGCAATCCACTTGAGTCTCTCAGAAAACCTGGGGTTTGTCACCTGGTTCCAGACAATTCTCTTCAAGGTGGAGGACACCCTGAAGAAGAGGGGGAATGGAAGACATTCAACTGCATCAGTTGAGGCACTAACTTCAGAAAGTTAAGACTGGTAAAGGAAAGGAATGAAAAAGAGAAAACGTTTTACAGTAGTACACTGGAGCTGGCACATGGAAGTTTAGAATACCCGTTGTGGGCATCTCTTCCTAATTAATATTCACGGTGTTGGTGACTTAATTTTGACCACCGTGAGATTATTTACACCACAGAAATCAATAGACACTTTGATCGGGCCTCCCTCACCCCTCTACTCCCTCTTCAGCCAAGAGAGCCAGTGGTTAAGCGTTTAACAGTACACCACTGCTGCTGTGTATTTCAAAGATCATCTTCAATAAGTAGAGGAATGGGTAGGTGGATAGTTATGTGATGAACATACAGCAAAAACGCTTTTCCTAGAATCTACTGAGTGGAGGCTCAATGTATAATTATTTAGAATTTTTTTTTTCTGTTTAAAAATATTTCCACTAGGGACCAGCAAGTGGCGTGGTGATTAAGATGCTGAATCCCCTATGGCTGACTATGCACTTCAAGTCCAGGACCTGGTGGACTGAAAAACACATGTACATATGTGCTCAAAGTCCTGAGAGAAAAATGGAGGAAAGGGATTGTGGTGTGGCCTTCCCCCTGGGGGACAATTTCTCACTTTTCCTTTCTCTCTCTCTCTCTCCAGTGAATGCATGCACCTACAGCAAAAACCTAAAAAAAAAAATTATAAGTAAATCTCATGTTAAGTATCTTATTATGATAAAAATTTAAAACAATATGCATAAAATAGATATCATGCACTAGGAAACTTCAACAAATGATAATTACTGTGGTTAAAAATGGAAAAATTAGTATTTGGTTAGAGTAATGCCAAATATTATGGTTTGAATGTGCCCCCAAATTTCATGTGTTGGAAATTTAATTCCCAAATTCATATATTCACGGTATTTGGAGTTGGGCCTTTGAGATTAGATAAGATCATCAGGGTGGGGCCCCCATGTTAGGATTTGTAGCTTTATAAGAAGGAGAAGAGGGGCCAGAAGGTGCCTTGGTGGTTGAGGCATTGGACTTGCACATGGCCAACTATGGT